CAATATACACAGTATGTGTCTTCTAATGTGTCCTACAGTAGACACATTGGAAGGAGAAAGGTAGGCAGCATGTGCTGGCCGCTAACAAAGGGGATTCCTCACCAGCAGCTATTCACTGACAAAAGTAATGGGTTGGGCTACATTGGCAGCCAACACTGATGCTAATCTGTACTACAGTGTGAGGTATAGGCCTAAACTGCTATACTGGGAAATTACACTATACACTGGCCACGAACACTTGAGTGATAAAAGCTGTCTCCATCCCCCATTTCAACCCACCCACCGCTGCTTCTCTCAGCTGCTCTGCCCTTTTTGTTCACGAGCATTTGAAAATGTCGTACTCACACGGGCAGACGAAAGAACCCCAAATTCACCACAATAACCTGCTAATACTAATAAGCACTACAACTTCATAACTTTGTTTTGCGCTTCCTTTTATTCAAGAAGGATTTTTTTTTTAATCGACTGGCCTACTTAAAAAACAGCATTGCTGCTTGAGAAGAAGCACTTAATCAAATTCGACCGATTAGAATATGAAATAAATAAATAAATAAATAAAGATCCTGCCTTTATTATGCCAGCCTTGAAATGTACAAATTTACATAAAAGGACAAAGGCAAAGAGAGAGAGAACAATGTGTAAGCTGCAGTTCATGTGCATCTTTCTTTCTTTCTTTCTTTCTTTCTTTTCCACTCACAGAATCCACAGAACATACATCCTAGACCAAGTTGCAATTATATATATATATCATTAAAAATTAAAACAATGCTCTGATGTGACCAACCTGTGATTCCAAAGAGTGATCACTTGGGCTTCTTTTTCCAAGCTCCGGCTGGATGTGATAATGGAGGTAAACCTTTGGAGTGACAGCTGCAGATTCCGCCCCTGCTCTCTGAGTTGCAGCCTGGGACTGTGGTGTAACTGAGGAGTGCCCCTCGCAGTTTTCTAGACATCTGTCGCTATCGCAGTCCAGCCTACCCCACTATTGCTCCGTGTGCAATCTATACCCTCCCAATTGTTAACCCCTCCTCTCCCGCACACAGCCACTCCACTGCACTTCCATTTCCCTGTTGTAGAAATACATCTGAGTACTAGAGGTGATTATGAGAAAACTGTAAATGGTCTATTTCTCCTCTATAGAGAGTAACAGTGATTCCTTGAGAGTTTTTTTTTTTTTTTTTTTTTCTTGTGTTGTTTGTCAGAAAGATAACATGCATGTTCTTCCTTACTCCAAACAGGAAAAAGACAGATCTACATGCATAGTAATTGCTGAAATGAGAACAAACAAGTTTAAAGGCATTTTGAGCCATTTAAACTTGGATTTGGTTTAAAAGTGCTAAACTGAATCTACATGATTGCAAAATGGGATATATTCATGAGTGGTAAACTGTTGATATGTGGACCTCAATGTTTGCACTGCGAGCTTTTGAATAAATCATCTTAATCATGTGACATTATAAACATATACAGGAACAGGCTGTCTGGAGTATGCATGAGCTATCCCATGCCTTGCTTTTAAACTATGGTTTAGCCTACTTGTTAAGGACATGAAGACAACCAAAAGTTAATCATAACCATTGTGAAATATTCTGTTGCATTGCGCCTCTTTGCTATTTGCCTTCCATGTGTTAATGGGGCATGGTTGGTCCAGTTTCAGCAACTGACCCTTCCAGGTTAACAAGTTGTCTACTTTGAAAAAATTGAACCCAAGCAGCAGTGACACCGAGTATATGAGAACCCTTCATGACTATCAGATACAGTGTATATTCATCAAGTTGAGACTTAGTACCAACCATCCAGAATTGCTGCTCCCAGCTGACTTCCAGACAGTTACATCCTTTCATTCCATTTAGATAAGCAAGGGCCTGTCATGGCCCAGTCATGGACCAGCATGCTGCATCTGTATGAAGACATTTAATCTTTCTCCAACAATATATGAAAATAAATCTAAAAGAAATATAGAACTATTAGCAATGATTCACCTGCTGTAATCTCATTTAAACTGCTAAACGATCCTGGTTTAAACTAGTAAACTCATTTCTATTAGTCACCAAAAGGTGTCACATCTCTCCCAGAAGCAGTCCACTACTTGTTTTTCCACTTGCAGAGCCTTCGTGTGAAAAGAAAAGTGAGACTGGGTCTTTCCCTGGTGTTCACACAAACACTTTACAGTTTCTCTCTGTGAAACTGAAAGAAAGACGAAGCAAGTCGCACAACAATTGGACTGACGATCTTATTACATCACTCAAAACTCACCAACCTGGTATTTGATCAGAAAAGCTGTTGGAAAGTTGCCAAACAGGTTATTTTTGTTTGGTTTAGGTGAAACTGATTTTTAAGGAGATGTTTAATACAATTAAAAGAATACTGGTTACAGTATATGTATACACCCACTTCATTCAAGCAAAAAATACTTCTAACATATATTTGTATGATATTTTATATTATTAGGTCTTAAACTCATACATGTTCCCTGCTGAATGTGATACTCCCCAATGGTTTTGGTAGTTTAGAGGGACTTTTCTGTTTTTTCCTTCCATTTGAACAACCTTCCTAACCATTTTCTTTTCTCCCTCTTATGTTTTTCCATCCCCAAATAGGGATCTTTAAATAAATACATTTATCAACCATGTTTTACAGAGTTAATACCAGACCAGCATTACTGAGGAGACAGCACCCTCTCCTGTTACAAGAGCTCACAGTACAACACAGCATGGATGGAGAAACCTGGTTGATATTTTGGGTTCATTCAGTGTTTATCACAAACAACTGTCTTACAAAGAGTGTGAAAATATAAAGAAGAACTGTGACTGTCACTGGAATATTGAAAAAACACATTTCTGTTGTTTAGTTGATCTTACATCGAGATCATGAAATGCTCTGCTGCCTACTTTTTTTTTTTTTTGCTTTCTAGATACTACAACGTTCTAGTTTCTATCTATTAAAGAAAACAAGACAATAAGATCCATCTTATTTGTTTCCCCTGCTGGCAGCAAAGCTAAACAGTGACAAAGGGGGTGAGTTTCTCATGATGCAAAAGCTCTGGAATGCATTCCCAAGAGTATAACCAGCCAACCACTCTGCTCCACATAGACAGAGGGACTCACAGGCATATGAGGAGGCCTTAGAAAAGCCCCCAGAGTTATCATATAAATGTCCAAAGCTCATCTGTCACCAAGTCCTGGTCCTGTTGACCCAGACTGACACAAAGACTGAAGAGGTGGAGAAATAAAGAAACAGGTGTTTAGTGCTACAACATATGGGTCAGTAGCTCACCACCAGAGTGGTAGAATGTGTGCAGGAATGTGGCAAACTCTTGGGCTAGTGTGGGCCCTTTCACAGTGCGAGGAAGGTTATACTCTGGACAGGTTAATATATTTTTAATGAATGAACAAATGAACTGACAATAACTTGATTTCATCCCAAAAATGTTTGAGTCTGATATTTGATGCTCCCATCAAAAGTTACAGCCAATTTCCAAAAGTAATTCAATAACGCTCTCTATCACAGCTTTATTTATATGGCACCTTCCATACAAGCATGTAACCCAAAGTGTCTAACATAGCATAATTGGAACAACATTGAAAAAAAATAAAAACAAAAATTAACAATAAACAATAAAACCATGGAGAGAAGGACACTGTATTCACCACAACTCTAAAAACATTTATGAAAAGGCCTGAAATTGATGATATTGAGCATATAGCCTTTGGGTGCAGCAAATACACATAAAACATGGTGGAAGTCACTCTTTTTAGTTGATAACTGTGCTGCATGGCTTGTCTCGACATTATTCGTTCAAAGACACCAACTGAAACTGTTAGCAGTGTCAACAAGAGCATGGTTGTATGCAAAATCACAGTAGGTGCAATGTTACTACGAGTCAATGTATGGCACCTGCACACCAACTCAGATCCATTGGTAGTTTTAACCTGATGACCATGAAATGAAATTTCCCCATTGTGGGACAAATAAAGGAATATCTCTCTTATCTCTTATGAGAGAAGTCCATATAACAATTGTTTAATAGTTTATTATTATTATAATTTATTATATTATTAGAGAGAGAGAGAGAGAGAGAGAGAGAGAGAGAGAGAGAGAGAGATGAACTAAATGGTTTGGTTATGATTTCTACATTCAATTTTGGAGAAAGGTAAATAGCACCCTCTACTGGACACCCAACAATAGTGGGAAATAATATGAAACAAACATAACATGGCTATAAACGATGTATATTATGATCTCAAAGGTTAAAATCAAGTTTAATTACACAGATTTTTTTTACTGAAAACAAAATTAATGATGGCTTCCTAAATAAGTGGTTCAATTTATATCTATTAGACGCATCATAAAGCATAACAGCACAGTTAAAGCATGAGGTGAGTGTCATACAGTGCCCAAAATACATTTTACAAATCAACAATCTTTGACAGAAAGAGTCTAAAAGTATAGCTCTTGAATCAGTGACATGTGTGTTTAGCTGTATCTATGGATACCTTCATGTGTTTATGAGACTGCTGGGCAACCATGACACCCCCTCAAAGCCCACTAAGAACAGTACAAATCTGGATCATTGATTTTGATCAATGGAACTTAGTATAAGTAGGTTTTGTAGGGTCACTAATTAAGTGTTAAATCCAAACTGAATCACACACTACAGAAAATTGCAAATGCTATGGGTTAAAACTTTCAAGCATGCCAGACGGGCCACAAGACAGTTGTTTGTATCACACCGTGTTCTCCATCAGCTGCTATGACATCATTTATTGGGATGTGGCCAAAAGTACAACTTCATGGGTTGAACCCCCCCCCCGTTCGTGCTCCCTGTGTCAAATATTTCTTTCATATATTATAACCACATTTAATACAAATACACTTTTATTACCCTTTAATAATCATTGAAACAACCAATAACGACACTTTATAGCTACTTTACTTCACTGGCGGATGTGCAGGGTCCCGGCGCGACGTAGCAGGCAATGAATGCAACGTACCCGTGGCTTGTTGGATGAAGGCGGTGCTAGTGGTGCCCAAGAAGCAGGGCCTTGCCTTTGTGGTTGTAGAAAGAGAAGATGGCTCCCGTTCTGGAGAAACAGCTCCCGGGCGCAGCCGGGGCAGGCGACAATAACAACGAAGACGAAGAAGGACAAAACCTCTGGCAAGTGCTGCTGTTCTTTTAACAATTCAGCGCCGGTCGTGGTCCTTTTGTTGTAAAAGCACAGCCGCAGTGGTTCTGCTTTGTCACCGCCGGTTGTTCACAGTCAGACAGACACCGGCCCGGCTAGCTGTAACATTAGCACTAACTGAAGCTGGGCGGTCAGTGTGCTAACGTTAGCTATGTTAGCAAAGTGGACTAACGTTGCTGCTGATTAGCTGCACTGCAGTTAGACAGTTTAGTTAGCTAACTTAACCAATAGCGAGTTTTACTAATACAAGGAATGTTGTTGAATTAACTAAGTCAAGGTTATGAGATCAGTTCATACTATCAGGGTAGTTATTGTCAAGACAACACCTAAAATACCAACTAGTTAGCTCATGTATGCAGCAAAACGTTACAACGAGCTAACATGAACGTTAACGTTAACAAGCTAATGCCATGACCTACTAACCCAAGTAACAAAGCTAAGGTTGTGCAGAAAATTATTATTCATCGTATTGCTATGGGGTTTCTTTTCATGGATTCAGATGCCTGCTTAGCTTACGTTACTTACTCCTAACGTACTGGTCAGTGTAGATGACTTATCATTTCCTGCTTGTTTTGTGTTGTCGTGGACCCATCATTGGGTTAACGGAGAGACAGTGACATTATCTCTTGGATTGATACAAGTAATAGTTGAGTTATGTACCTTTTTTAGCTGACCGGTTATAGTTTTGGTAGAAGCCTATGTTTTGAAATGGGGAGCGGCTGTCAATGTGCACGCTTCATACGTGGTTCTGTTTTTGTTAATATGTGTCTTATTTCATGTAGGACTTCGATACTGAGTGAAGTTTCAACTCGATCAAGTTCAAAGTTGCCATCAGGAAAAAATATCCTGGTATTTGGTAAGTATTACTTTAGACACGTGTGAAACTCTATTCTTCTGCAGTGTTTTCATTGTATTTGTAGTGGTACATCCTGAAGGTAGTGGAGGGCCTGCAAACTGCAAAGCCCATACTGGACTCACAAATGATAATAAATGCGCATTAAAACCTTTATGACTCTTCAAACTGCCTGCACTGTCACCTTTTCTTCCCACAATCTTGAACGGATACACAATACACTCTAAATACAGAGAAATCTTCTCAGGTGGGAGCATACTTATGTGGGTGGGCCTCACAAATATGTAAGAAATACTGCAATTGACCAGTGAGATTTATGTGAGACATTGCAGCCTCTGACAGTCCTGAGAACATGTGTGCAGTCATTGCATTTGAGGTGAAAAGATTTAGTTTATAGTATGATTTTTTTTTTTTGGTACATCATATACATTATTGTTCTAAAATATCCATAATGATATGTATTAAACAATATTCAAAATGCTACTAAACGTAATGAATAATGCCATGTGTAAGCTAATGAATAACATATTTTGCAGGTGAGGATGGATCAGGAAAAACAACACTTGTGGCCAAACTTCAAGGAGCTGATCACAGCAAGAAAGGGAGGGGACTGGAGTACCTGTACTTAAATGTCCATGATGAGGACAGGGATGGTAATTTCACTTGCTCAAGCTTTTATGTGGTTGTTTCACAGGAAAAGCCTTAACAAAAACTGTTGTTTAAAACAGTAGTTGTATTGCTTTTATTAAAATAGTATTTGGTTTTTCTTTGCAGACCTTACTCGCTGTAACGTGTGGATCCTGGATGGAGACCTATACCACAAAGGGCTACTTAGGTTTGCTGTTTCAGCTCAGACACTTCCTGACTGTCTAGCTGTCTTTGTTGCGGATATGTCACGGCCCTGGACCATTATGGAGTCACTGCAGAAGTGGGCCAGTGTGCTACGTGACCACGTGGACAAGCTCAAGATCCCACCTGAGGACATGAGAGAAATGGAACAGAAGAGTAAGTAACGTTTGACTTCATCCACCCATGTGTTACTGGCATTGTAGATGGTATCAAAACGAAAACCTCCAGTTTAGTAAATCATCATCAATGACACGTGCACCAATGATAAACACATGGCTTTTATTTTTAAAATTTAGCTCTTATCTTGCTGTTAGCTAGCTGCCCTCTCCCCTGGTGCATAATTGGGCCAACTTAAAGAATTCATTTAATTTGATCGATGCAATGACAGCATCTAGTGTAAATCCAAACAGGGATTTGCTTCGTTAAAGTAGAACGTTAGTTAAGATTGATATATCTCAGGAGAGGGCTAAAAGGAAGCAGCACTCAGAAAAGGTGCCCAGGGTGGAAGCAATGGTAGTCTTACATAATAAGAGCTAGACTCCTTGCTGACTGGCTGCTGGGAAAAAGGAGTGATTGGTCGCTGCGTAGCATGGATAGCAAGCACAGTATAACATTACACATTGTCATGGATGTTTCTAGGTCATCATCAGAGAGGCCCATGATCCTCAGCTGTGTGTGTTCTGGCTGGAGGCAAGTTCTGCAGATCGAGTGTGATGCACTCAGATGTTGTTCTTCTGTTAATTTTAGAGCTGGTCATCTCTTGCTTATGAACTGTTCTTTTGTGTTTGGTTAAATGCTTTTAAAGATTGCTTTTCAGACAACTTAGTTCAGCCTGCTGGGTTTCACAAAATGTTCTTGTCTGCCTCCAGAGGTTTGCTGGTTGCTGTTGCTCTTACAAGTCTGAAATTACTTATCACAAAGAAGTAAAATTGTTTAATGACAGCAGATGAACAGGTCTTAAAATGTTCTCAACATGTAACATGCTAATTCAGACAAGTGGTAACAAGTAGTGTAATCTTCTTGCAAACGTGTGAAACGGAAAAGGGAAGCTGGTAGCCAAGTGATGACTAAAGCACATTGTTAAGCACTTCTATAATGGGTATAATAATTTGTGTTGCTGACTTATTTCAGTTCAAATAGCTGTATCAGTTAAGCACAATTTATGCTATGCAGTCGAAGGAAATACTGCCTGGAATTTATACATTTAACCTTGTATTCAGTAGCTATGGGCTTGAACATTCAGTACAGCTGTAACTTTGCAATTGTAGCTTGTACTGTAGAAGTAATTTTTCTTGAGCCCTGAAAATTTGATAAATTTTTGAGGCTTAACATTAAATCTGTTTGTCAGATTTCTCCTACTTTGTCTCGCTGGCCAAACCCACCCCTGACATGGCCAGATTTCCAGTTTAGCTGAGCCATGTCATTCAGATAAAGCATCTTGCAGCATGTCACTTGTGATGTCAGTAGCAGATTGGTGAGACCTAGTCAGCTTACATATTTGTGGATTTGGGCGTGTGAGTGAGAGAGACAGCCTGACAGACAGACTGGAAGTTTGTGTTAGTGGCTTTTGTCCAGAGAGTCTTGCAGACATCTTGCATCATGGTTCCCTCCCCTCCAAAGGCAGCGTCAGGGAAAGGAAGGGACGTAAACTGAGTGTGTCTGAGTGCAGTCAGTGGGCCGGACATTCTGACTACTGCTGTACTGTAACTGAACTCGGCTGGCTGTTGGAGTCGTCTCAAGTTAAATTACAGGATCAACCTATTGGTGCCTGGACCACACATTGAAATGAGAACTATTTTACTCTGTGACTTTTGTGTGTTTTTTAAGCTCCAGTATCTAAGAATGGTGTGTAGGCAAATATCTTGGGGATTTTGTTTTGACTCCGTCTGTTTCGCTTGAATTAAAGGGTACAATAACCTGGCAGCTGTAAAAATGATTTAGCTATGCCCCTGCAGCGTGAACTATTTCATTTATTGAAGGCAGAGTAGTCCTCGATTATAAGTGACAGTGCATTTTGACCTCACCTTTGTTTGTGGAACAGATAAATAGGTCTTGGTGGGGCAAAGTCTCTTTCACTTTGTGTTTGAAAGTGATACTCCACCCAGGATCTCTCATTTTAGCATCAAGTACTGGTCCCCTGTAGCCCTGAAATCACAGAGATTTAAGTTGTCATGGTAAAAACAAAGTATCAGAACTCCCATACGAGTAAACAGCAAAAAAAATCCCATCACATAATCCATTGCTCTGCTTCCTCGGACACCGCTGTGGTGGAAACAGAGTACCTTAATGATTGGATGGCAGTGAATAATAGTGATGTTTTTTTGCTAGTAGCTTCTCCGATTTTATTATTTTTTTTTTCTTAAGACATATTTACTACATTTAGACATATTTACAACATTTAAAAGTAAGTATTGTTAGGTTTTGATCCATGTCTAACTTGCTGTTTGCCATATTATGGACTAGCTGTCCCATATGTAGCTTAAAGTCTGTTGACGGGAAAGGATTAGATAAAAGTCTAATTATTTTTAACAGTCATTCAAATTTTTGTCAAATTTGGTTCAGATGTCCTCTGTATAACTGTGAGTGGGGGGAAAAGGCCAGAGATTTTCATGAATCTTTATTATGAATGGTGTAAAATCCACATGTTAAATTCCTGCCCTTAAGCCGTAATGTACATACTCTAACCCATTTGTGCATATGTACTGGATTTATGTAATCCTGTATCTAAGAAGGGTCCCCTGTTAGTTTGCTTGTAACACCAGTTCTCACCCCATACTAAACCCCCTGTCTGAGAGTAAAGGAGGCTCAGAACAGCAAGTCAGTATGGCTTTGTGGGCTGTCCCCAACTGCATTCCCGAAGCTCCTGAGGAAGTAGGCCAAAGCTTCCTGCGTATAACCCCCCCACCGCCACCACCACCTCATACTGCAGCTTTGTAAGTGTCTGGACAGCTGGGGCAGCACAACAACAAAGTGAAGGATGCCATTTATTTAGCCTTATCTACCTTTCACCCAAGGCTTATGTAATCATGAAAATGTAGCACAATTAACACTAATGGTGCTAAACTATACAAGACCTATAACAGTAATGCCTTGTATTTTTATTTAAGTTTGGAATTCTCTTCATCATTCAATGGGCAGGAGCTGGTATATTTTTATACACCAGTTAAGTGTATCCTTATGTACCATATGTAGTAATGTAGTAGTACCAATGAACACTGTGCTATATATATTTCTGCATCAGGGTGTAACTGGCTTTATAGCTTTACTAAAGGTGCCACCAAAGACCACATGCACTTCAAAAAAATTATATGTTGGACACAGAGAGGCTACCACAAGAACTTTTATTGCTCAGCTTAATGTTCTTGTGTTTTTTTCCAGCGCTGAAAGAACAACATAGAGCAAAGTTTTAAAAAAGGGCTCAGTAATCTTGCTAAATGTTTTGCTATTGCCTCACACATTTATAGTTGATATCTTTTTTTGATTGGCACCATAACAACCTTTTGCACATGATTTTGTTACTTTGTATAACTTGTCGAGTGTAGCCTGAAAGAGTGTTATTCTATGTTATTCTATCGCTGCACCCCTAAATGCATGTTAGAATGTGTCACGATACAGAGAAAGTTAAAACCAATTGGATATCAGTTGGGGGAAAGAAACACATTTTATTTGATATCAGCAGCAGAGGGGCAGATTAAATTAAGACTACATAGGCACAGTTGAGTTAACAGTTTTATATTTTTTATTGGGCTCATCGGCCTTCTATGTTCATTTATGGTTTGAATTCCCATCTTTTATTCTCTTTCCACCAGTGGTGAAAGCGTTCCAAGAGTATGCAGAACCAGAGGATGCCACCCCATCATCCCCACAGAGACGGGCCCCAACAGCAGGGGAAGACGAGGCCGTTGTACTACCACTTGGGGACAACACACTCACACACAACCTGGGCATTCCAGTGCTAATAGTTTGCACAAAGGTAAATAATTCCTAGGGCCTTCCTTGTGTTATGTGTGAAGTGATACACCCTATCGAGAGACAACTAATGTCGCTTGTTGTTGCTATAGGAGGTTTTATCAATCTATCAAGGCTTTTCAGAGGTACTTGTTCAAGATAGGGGATTTGCTAAGTTCTCTGACTTAATACTACATCCTTGTGACCAAAGAGCCAAAATATTGATACCAAATAAAATCCAATGGAATACTTAATCATGGATATGCAGTACAACAATATTGTGACATTTGCTGCAAAAGAGAACAGCCTGTGCAGATGCAAAAAATCACTGTTATTGTATGTCCTGGTGGGTGTCCAAATATGGTGTCAACTCCTAGTCCTTATGGACAGTTGTCATAAAGTATTAGTCTGGTTAACCATGCCCACTATTTATATAGTGCAACTCCCCATCGATACATATTGGCTTTTTTAACGATTTAGTCATTACAATAAAGGCTTTTTAATATATTCCTTTCTTGTTGCCACATCTTTTCCAAGAGCACCTGTTTTTTCTTCTTATCTATGATTGATAATTTTGAGAAATCAGTCATCTTCCTTTTAGTGTAACTTCGGATGGGCTATTTTCTTCAGTTTCGAGGGTGTGTATACTGGGTTTAGTTCCTCAAAGTGCACCTACCTCTACATCTACATATCCTCAGAAAAGTCTAGGGATACTTATCTTAGGATTTAATCAGTTGGTACACCCTTAAAGTCCTGCCACCCTCTCCTTAGTTGCTGAATGGTTTTCCAGAACCTCTTCGGCCACCTGTCTGGGGCCTGCTGCGTTTATGATCCATAGCTTCTCTAAACTCCCTTCCCACTTTTCTAACTTCTGCTACCACAGCACTGCTAGCCTGTATGTACCCCTTCTACTTAGCCCTGAGTTGCCTGAGATAAACAGGCATGGAAAGCCTCCTTTAAAACCTTGACAGCTGCCCTCACTGCTGATGGGTTTCTGCATTGCCACCATGAGGCACACGGATCCTATGTAAAGCCTATTCATGCCCCACTTTATGTTGAGCTTCGTGAGCCAGTATCCTTGAATAAAAAGCAGTTATTGTATTTCTTGGTTAACCCTCCAGGCAAAGACTTGTGCTGAAAAACACAGCGTCACCATCAGCAGAGCTTCACATGCTAGCTGTGACTAGAAAATGGTGAATGTGCCCTTTTCATCTTTTTCCTGCCTAACCTTTGTCAGAGGAAAAAGTATTCAGCTTGGCAGTAAAAATAAAAGGGTGGGATGTTGATGTGCATATGTCTGTATAAGTGTGTGAATGCTAACATATTGTCTGTGTAACTGAAATATTTATCTTTCCCTCTTTCAATCTTTTATTCTTCAGTGTGATGCAGTCAGCGTACTAGAGAAGGAGCATGACTACAGAGAGGAGCACTTCGATTTCATCCAGTCCCACATCAGGCGATTTTCCTTACAGTGTATCCTTACAATGCACAATTGTTTGTAATTCTAGAGTTCTTGAGCCATACATCAGGTTTTTATGTGGCCCATGATGTTTTATTTATTATTATCAATCAATCAAGCTATCATGTATGTCATTACCCAAAAGTTTCCTGCCTTAAATTAATTAAACAGATGGAGCTGGCCTGATCTATACATCAGTCAAAGAGGAGAAGAACCTGGATCTGCTTTACAAATATATAGTACATAAGATGTATGACTTCCAGTTCACCACACCTGCCTTAGTGGTGGAGAAGGATGCAGTGTTCATGTAAGCGAAGCTAGAGATGCACTAGTTTATCATCAGGATTTCATGGCACATACCTCAAACCAAATTTCTACTTTTAATCTGAGGAAATGAGGAATGCTGTACATAATTATCCAACATACTTTAAATCAGTGAACTCATTGTAATTGAACTGTCGGTCTTCTAGTCCATCTGGGTGGGATAATGAGAAGAAAATTGGGATTTTGCACGAAAACATCACAACAGTCAGACCCGAAGATCCATTTGAAGATTTTATCACAAAGCCTCCAGTACGAAAGGTATGACAATGCAAATACTGACAAAATGTAAACTTACAGGTTGATTTTAGACTCCAGAGTGCCAATTAAATAACCACATGCCTTCTCCTTTGTGCTTCTTCACAGCTGGTTCATGACAAAGAGATAAATGCAGAGGATGAGCAGGTATTCCTGATGAAGCAACAGGTATGTGTCGCTCTTTCTTGCATATTTCATGATTTCTGTCACCAGCCTTTAAGATTGACAGTATATCTGAAAATTCCCCATGTTTATCGATAAATGTCATCTCCTGATCAAAGTGGATAACAGGAGTGTTATTTTTAGCATGAAAGAATAAAGTTGTGAGGAGGATATTTTTCATCCCTGTTATCTAAACAACAGATTTGGCTAACCAGCTACAACCCAGGACCAATCCTCTGTTTTTATAGATTTTAGTAAAGATCCCGAACTGACATTTTCACTAAACAAATGAATATTGTATACTCGTGCTGCTGAACATCTGAAACTTCCACATGACAAATGACATTGCCTTCACTTCCCATTTTGTGGACCTATAAACGAGGAAGGCAGTCTAAAAAAAAAAACTCAACTTAGGCTTCAGTTTTCAGATTAGAGAAGTGCTTAGTGCTTGTTGAGGTTTCTTTTCACCAAATCCCCCTCCACTTTAATGTGTTCCAGCTGGCATTCTATTTATGGACATATAAATAAATGTTTGTACAGGAGTTGATGGAAACTGTCTATTCTTACTGTGCAGGTTTTCAGAATCGGATAAATGGTATAAATGTGCATGTTTGAAATCAGTTTTCCAGAAAACCCCAAATTAGTCAATGACTTCTGTTAGCAGTATCCATTTTGGCCCAGTGGTTTCCTTTAGAGTGTGCTCTAACATACGTATTGTTAGAATTGTAAACCATGTCCAAATAAAGCCATTGACTGTCACTTTTTTTTTTTTCTTTCTAGTCTTTGTTAGCAAAGCAGCCAGCCACGCCAACAAGAGGAGCAACAGTAAGTGTTTTAACATCACTCAAATGTGGAATCTTAGTTATTTTTATTGTATTGTTTTTCTTCTCTATAGACAAGCTATTATATCTAGAGCTTTTGTTTGTGATCAGCCTTGCTCTGGTTTCTGTGTTACAGGAGTCTCCAGGACGAACAGCCTCAGGGTCTCCTAGGCCCGCAGGTCGCGCCGGCCAACCCACTGTGACTAGCGGCTCACCAATGTCTGCTGTCAAAAAGCCTGACCCTAACATGAAAGGTAGGAGCGCCATTAGTGCTCGTTTATTTTCATACCTGATGACTGAGAATCATACTTTGCACTCCAGTGCTCCCTAGTTTATTAGTTTGTCCCAAAGGCTTGCATAGTCTTTTCTTTTTAATTTAAAATTCTCTTTATGTTTGTATCCCCGCAAGTCTTTGATCAGTCTTTTCTATTCATCTTTGATCATTTGGCTGTAATGAGAACAGCTTTTTCCTTTAGTGTTGCAATACTGCCCCCAAGAGGTAACTACTAAAATAATCCACATAGATTCCTGCACCACCTCTGGAGCTGGCCACCCTTAAGTAGAAATATTGACTTTCTCTCCATCATTAAGTACAGTAGGGTGCTAGTGCATTCCAATTAAAAAAAAGATTATTACTTTTAACTAGCTTTAATAGAGGTCTGTTAACCCTGACCTTTCTCTCTCTATTTTTTTTAGCAACTTCATTAAAAAAATGTTGTACTGATAAAGGACACTTTGTGTTTCCTTATCCAAACTTGTGGTCTAAGCATACCTATACACATACTGCATATACCAGAGTCCACCGGCCCTTGATACGGGTTAAAGGGCAGTTGTCCTGAATTAAACAAGATGAAGAAATGGCCCTCATTTTGCAAGAAAAACATTATTATACAAGACAGTAACAATATATGTATTTGAATGTAATGTATTTGAAAAGAAGTAACTGAAGCTATCCCAGACTAATAATTTGGAATCACAACATTATACAATGTTAGACATTAAAGCAAGATAATCTGTTAATAATCCGCCTGCGTTCTCGGTAGTCTTAGTGTTGAGAAGGTAACTAGCAACTCAAAGGTCCAGTGTGTAACATTTAGGAGGATCTATTGGCAGAAATTGAATATAATATTCATAGGTATGTTCTCATTAGTAAATCATTTTTGTATTCATTACCTTTTAGAATGAGCAATTTTTATCTGCATAGGGAGCGAGGTCGCCATGTTTCTACCATAATCTGCAACTTCACTGCTAGATGTCACTAGATCTTACAAACTGGTCCTTTTCAGTGTGGTGGGTGATAAGAATATGTAGAACTTATTAAAAACATATGTTCTTATCCTGTTATTGTCAATAGTACAGAAGTGATTTTAAGTTCCATGTTTCTCCTGCAGCGGGGGCTGCCAATGAGGGAGTGCTGGCTAACTTCTTCAACAGCCTGTTGAGTAAAAAGACTGGAGCTCCAGGTAGCCCAGGAAGTGGAGCTGTTGGAGCTGGAGTACAAGGGTCGGCCAAGAAAACAGGTACAACCTCTTGTTCCAATGCTCTCCCCTCTGATCTTTCTTTTTACGCACTTTCTTCCTTACAGGTTAGCAGTTGTCCTTTTAACGTAACAATTATGAAGCATTTTTGTTTATTTATAGCACCCTGTGCATTTAGATCCATCTCAGAGAATGGACTGCATTCACACTTAAGTCAAGACAAGAGGTGTTAGAAACAGGGCCTTTTGTTGATGGAGGCTGTGGACCATTTTGCTGTCTGGAGTTTTATCTCTACAGCCTGAGAGAGACAGAGAGAGAAGGTTAAAACAGGAGAAAAAGAAAAGTTGTCTTCTTTGACTGAACTTCTGACACCTGAGGAAACTTGTGACAGGCCTGTATGCACCAAACCTCCAACCATAAGTGCCACCATGAAACTAATGTCACTCACACCTCACCATATCCCACTGCTCTCTTGCTCAACTAATTTATTTACCTGTTATTTTACTTGAGTAACCAGCAGCTGTTATTGCATGTCTGCATTCTTATTTTCAGCTTCAGCACATTTTTCTAACTTTGTCATAAAATATAACAAAGTTAAATACTGTTTGTGAAATGGCTGAATGTATCCAGTGAAACATTGCATAACTTGTGTCTCTGAGACCACTGAAATGTACTTTTTGTTCCAGCACTGAGCAGTGTTAGGCCCAGCTGAAAGGATAATGCATGAACATTACATGTTCCCTTTTGTCTGATGATTAGATTTGCATGTGTGTTAGCTGTGGCAGCGAGCCGCCAACCTCCAGCATGGGACCGCATCATCATCCAACCCCCATCCATCTGCTTGCTGGCCATAGAAAATTGTTATTTATGAATACACGCAGACGCTACAGGAGATTACTTTTGGACTTTGTCTCCTGTTTTTCCAAGGGCAGAAGCCGGGTTTGACTGATGTCCAGGCCGAGTTGGACAGGATGACTCGCAAACAAGACTCCATGGTTTCAGCTAACAACATACCACCGCCGACAGAGAACGAAGCGTGAAGGCAACAAAAACAGCTACATCGTCCACTGCAAATACTCTGGAAAAAAATACATGTACATGTGAGCATAAAAAATTGACCAAATTCCCAATGTCTATATCAGTCAGCACAGTGGTTTCACCAAAATGAGTTTCAGATGCTATCCGATATTTTGGTGTTCTGGTGAGATGGGAAGAGATGATAAGTGCTGAAGGCTTGTCTTTAATTCTGTCCTCTCTTCCGCTGTAAATGTTATTTTGTGAGGGGTGTTCGTTTTATGGAAATGCGTGCACACTCCCTGGCAGCCAGCCTGATGTGCTGGGTTGCAGGTCCCCCAGTTTCTGGGGTATAACACCATCCTCATGGGTTTAATGAGTGGAAATATTACTGGTCCTGTGGCCTCTGGTTCAGCTTATCTCATGGAAGGAATTTGGTTGCGATTGGAAGGGTATTTAAACTTTAAATATATTCATTGAGAAAAGTGATTCAAATACTTGCAAACATATGTAGTATGTAAAAAATGTTAGATATGATACTGATGTATTTATACAAAGTTCCTCCTTTTTATTTTATTTTGTGCACCATTTATCGGTTTAAGGAAACATTCATCTGTATCACCTAACATGTTAAAATGCCACTGACGTCATGACACTAATATGACATGTCCAGATAGCTGATCGCATATCATATCATTTCCCCTAATCATCTCGAAGGATCCTGTAAATATAAATACAAACAAATCTATTCAGGTTGACTCTGATTTTGTACAAAATGCAATTCTGTCCAAATTCTGAAAATAGCTACTTTTGACTAATTGAGACTGGTTGGGATTTGACAGGTTTAGAGGTTGCAACAGAATCGCTTCTTTAGCTACAGGTGTGTATATTTGGGGAGGGGCTTGGGCAGCATCTTTCCTACTATAACTCCTAAGTGCCTCGCACAGTTAGCTGTTTGTGTCATAGTAGAGGTGCTTGTCTACATAAGAGGAAATGCACTGTAGCACAATCGGTTAAAAGGTTTTTGTCCATTTCTTGTCATCCAAATAATTTATTTTGTTTTACATTTTTGTTAATGTACAACAAGCCTGTGGTCTGTTATTTTTCAGAAATGAGATTTCTGTGGCTTAGTTGATAGTGTTCAATAGAGCAATAGATTGAATGCCTTCATACAAACTTTAAAGGCTGCTGATATTAAGAAGATACCACATGACGGAACCTTTGGGTCCCCCAAACGAACACCTACTGTGGTTGAAACCACTCGCTTTGCAGCCAAAAGACACACAATGATTTGTTGTGGTGTGAATTAAATTAGATATTGTATACTTCAGTGTTTGACAGCACTGTCCTCCTTTGGTTTCACATATTTTATTCTCACTGTACCTCACATGTCAGTTAAAACATTCCCAGTTTCTACATGAAGTAGCTGTAGAAACCCATCTCTGTAGGAAACCTGTTTGTCCAGTTAGGTCTTTTTGTTCGCTCTCTTTCAGTGCCCATTTAAAATTACAACCTTTGCCTTCAATGTACAGCTAACAGTTTGTCACACTGGGCCCCCTGCCTTCACAGGAATGCTCCTAATTAATTTGTGTGTCCTTAAGGGGTTGCTTAATTGTCTTATGTAATTTCTCTTCTTTAAAAAAAATAAAAACCATTATACTGTACCATATCAAATAATCTGTAATAGTATTTATGGTTTCATGAAACCATAATCTAAGCAGAATTAAATAAGTGTACATTATCATTCTTAAATCTGTATGCAAGGCCCTACTTAATCCTATGGATAGTGTGTAATCAGTAGCTTTCACAGAATTAATGGCAAGTGTCAAGAGAGCAGCTATTTGCTATTAAAATAATGGCAAAAAAGGAAAACTGGAGTGAATTGGAACGTGGAACCAAAGATGCATATTAGTTACTATTTTCTGCTTTTATAGTCTGTTATCATCCATAAGATTAACCAGTGGCCATTGTTTGTCCTACTCTTGCATGGAGCCCTTGCATTCCAAACTTCAGATCTACCTATGAACTTTTTTGAGCAACACCCTATAAAAATGGTAGAAATGCCTTACTCCACTCAACCATATCCGGGGTTCTCCAGAGTCAAAGGAGAAAAAAAAATCCACAATACAGTCAAGGTTCAACTTTTTTTCTTTTTTTTGCTCTGTAAGGGAATAACCACAAGACCATATTGGTGTACAGTCTACTTTATGCATGATTTGTTGTCAAAATGATGCTACACGTGTTCTGGATTCAGTTTTGATCAAAATGACGCTCTTATTATTTTAGTTTTTCCTTTTTTTTTTGTGACTGGGTGGAATGTGCACCTGAGGGTCTGTTGCCGAAGTGGATGAAGCACAATTTAAGAACAGCCAGGAGCAGTACCTCCACATGTTGAAATAAGCACTTTTCCTTGGACACTTGTATCAATTCACTGTTGGTACAGTTAAAGATACAGAATGCATTTTTTTCTCTTTGCCTTGCCTTTTTTTTTTTTTTAGAATATTTAGTAATTACCTAGAAGTTAACCTACACAGTAAAACTTTTTATTTATCTGCATTTGCTGCTTAAGTTATGGAAAGTGCCCCTGGTGGTTAACTATGGAATAACCCCTTTCTGCTGGTGATATTGTTCATTTAATATCAATCCTCTAGAAACCATTGTCCTTACACCTCCTCGCTAGGGATGTTTTGGGGGCATCTTGAAGTAGATAAACCAAATAAATGTCCATTCATTTTCAGGTTTCCCCCCCTCCCCCCCATCCCCTTGTATGTGTTTACATCCTACTTAGACATGTTTTGTTTTTGTTGTTAGATATGGTTTTGCCCATAGACACTTTTGTTTAAAGAATTTCAAAATGTCACCCTCGCCTGATTGATCACACTTCCTCTTAAACATGGCCATACTTGTTCAAATTTGGCATTTTAGCTGAGTGGAATGAAGTGCTCTCATGCTGCTTGGTTTCAAAGTTGCACTTGCTCTTTGTAAAGATTGGCTGTTGCTCTCAAGATTGAGTATTGAACATATGTTGTAACTTTTTTACTCAAACGCCAGTTGAAAGCAACTGGCTCTTCTCATCCTAACTGAATTGCCTTCGACCACTATCGACAGTCTACATCTGTATGAGACTTTGAGCTTCTGCTTCCAGTCCTTTTGTATTCAGGATATCAAGACATTGTAAGCACATGGCCGGCTGCATTTTTGTGTCCTGAATTAATTCAGAAGTTTGATTGTATGACTTTAACACAATTCTGTAGCCTCTAAGCTGCCATGTGGATTCTAGCTTCTTACGCCGACAAAGTTAAGGAAAATGTTTATCAGACCCCTGGCTTCAATAAAATCAAGAATCCAAATTTGTGTTGACTTGTACTTTTTTGTGTTTATGCAATGTTTATGGATTGATTCCAGTAAGTTTATTTGCACATGTCAGGAAAACACTTATACACTGGCATCATAACCAGAGCACTACAGTGTTTGATTAAAGGATAATAGCTGTTTGGATGCAACATCTAGGTATCGGATAGATATTTCCAGCATCTCTAGCCATCTACCATCACCTAGGCAACCTTTTAAGTCCCACTAAATACCACAGGAGGGCAGTAGGGTACAGTGAAGCACACTATTTCATTTGGAGAAAATTGGGCCTATCCCTGAATTCTCAAAGTTTAGTTATGAAGATTGCAATGTGATCTGATAAAAATCAACCCGTTTGGAGAAAATGGCTTTAAACCACCAACATGACAATAAAATGTTCCATACACTATTACATGCCATCTAAACTGCACAGTTCAAACACTTGGTCGCCCTTTACCTAGAAAATAAGCAATAGAAAAGCAGTGATATTTATGTATTTATTTTGAATTATATTTTGATATTTAGGCCTAAGTTTTGTTGTTGAGTTAACAGGCATTTACATACAATACAGCAAAAACTATTAAGGTCAGTACAGTGATAGGCTACCCTGGGATGAGTACAGCATACAATCCATAAAAAGAACTGCAGCCACACTGTAACCCTCCTGAGAATAAAGAAATAAGTTCATTAGGCCTGGTTGGAGGAAGTAACTTGCACTCAGCAGAGACGTATCGACGATATGAAAGGAACCAGAAAGAAAAATGCAGCAACAGCTCGGTCCTGTCAGCGTGGTTCCGGCTGGGTTCGTTTTGCAAGCTGTTTGGGAATCTACTTAAAACGGGCGCAGATCCTGCACAAGAATGTGCCGGTTTTTTTTTAAGAGGGGCGGAGACAAGCTTGCCTTTGCATCCATAGCGAATAAAGCGGCGTAAAAGGGGGCAGCCTCGCTGTGAGCCGCTGTGGGGAGTTAGTTTACAATAGGAAACAACAAGCTTCTCTCTGGGTTCTTCTGGGACATAATGGGTGGATGTTTTTCGGTCGCAGAGGCTAGTCACACAACACGGTAGGCATTTTTCTCCCCCCGCCCCCCTACCGGTGCTGCTGCTGCTGCTGAACTAACCAGAATCGTCTATGGTGGAGTGACACCGGGATCCGAACAAGAAACATAGTTATAAGTGCGGCTGTTGTAGAGAGACGCAACATTGTAACCGGGGAGGAAACGCCGCAGGGTTACATTAAGCGGATACCAGCTGGATTTTCCTGCGCGTAATGTTACAGAGCATCTCCCGCCGCTGTTAACCCCCGTGGGCTAGCTATGAAAAGTGGACTGTCTGGTTTGTTTTCTCCATCCACTCCCAGTTTGCATGGAACAAAGTGTGCTTTATGAAACACAGCCCGCACCGTGAGTTGGATCCAGTGCGGTTCGTCGGCGTGGGTTTATATGTCGTAACGTTTCTGGTCCAAGGGTCCAGCGTCTCTCCACTCCCGAAATCATCATGAGGACCACCGAGGAGCCAGAGGGCTTTGACGGCGAGGCCTCCAACACTTCCATGATCTCCGGGGCCAGCAGTCCCTATCAACCCACCACCGAGCCCGTCCACGCGAGGAACGTTTTGGGGGGGATAAGGTGCGACGTGGAGTACCTCAAGTCGTACTTTGGGATTTTAAAGGTGGTTGAAGTGGTAAGTTTACGCAGTTATTGCAGTTGTTCGTAAAAGTGAGCCAAACTATCTATGACGCACCATTGGTCGAGCACATCCACTAACATATGGACAAAATAACTACTTCCAGGGAGAGTATTATTCTTTTTATAAACTACTACTGTACTGTACCGCGAGCATTAATACCTACATTATGTTTTACTTCTGTCCCGAAAATGGTAGGCCAAGATCAAAAACTGTTAATTCAAATAGATGTGGGCCATACAGGTCCTGCTTTGCCCTGCACCACATCCCTAATAGTGGTCAGTCAGGTTTTCCTGCTAACCCAATGACACGTGAAGGTAATAAGGGGTGAGGTTGCTGAGGATCACAGTTCTCAATTCAGCCATGCTTTGCACACCTCGCCAAACATGTGGTTGTATATATTTTTTTCCAGTACATATTTATTTTGAAGGATACACAATGGTTCAAACAAAATGGTACAGTACTCCAATGGTACATTTTGGTGATATCCCCAGCACTTTATAGTATTTTCTGTCTCTTTTGATAAACTATTATTTCTTAAGGGACTTGAAAGCTAGGTCCTGTATTGCTCTTAGATAAATATTCCAATTTCTTTGTCAGGATGCAGTGCTCCCTGAAACACATATTTTCACTCACATCTGTACACCTAAACCAGATGTCTGAACTGAGACAGAGGCAACAACAAAGCAAAATGAGGGCTCCCAGTGCTCTGAAAATTCACCAGAGGAGGAAATATCTATCAAGCCGGAGCAATTTCTCTTCTTTTGGTGCCAAAAATTCAGACAGGCCCCTGCACACTCGTACACATGAAGTAGTGTGTCCACAACAGGATGAACTGTGGCACTGAGGAAACTAGCAATTACCTCTAACAGGGTTTGTGGATAACACAAGCAAACAGTTGAAGATAAAACTGCACAGTTCTGGCTTTTCTGATGCTTCACTTTAAAACTTTGGTTTAACTCTAGAAAAAGTAGTGTTTGAAAGCGACTTTCCTATTTTTGTGGGTGTCTTAGTGTCCCGCTGGTCTTACAGAAGAGCACAGTGAGCCCGTGCTGTCGCACACACCTGTGATGTTTACCTCTGTGTACGTGGGAAGTTAGGATAGGATGCCATCTGTCTTCAGCGTGGGAGACGTTTGGAGCTGGCAGTAACTAAGAAGACGATTCATATTCAGTCTTTATCTGTTTCACAGTAAACAATTGAATATTGTCTTTGACTTTGCTGCTCAATGGCAGCACAAAATTATTTTTATGTCTGCATTCCTGTTCCCCACAGATAAAGAATGGAATATAATAAAAAATGATATTCTTATTATTCATGTATGCAGTCATGGTGGTGCCTAGCGTCATGGTTAGTGGAATAGTAGGGATTCCTCTCCTGCAACACAGCAGTGATATGGGCCCACAATTAGGGCTGAGCTTCATTCAAATATTTGATAATTGTGCCGATACAATGCCTGAATTTCAGAACGGATACAATCATTTTTCAACAAACAAAACCCTTTTTCATTTAACAAACTTCTCCAATGTTAAGTGTTATCTAAACACAGACCGTGGTAGAAAAGCTTAGCCTAAATAAAGAGTGCATTTTAGTCAACACCAGAAAGTATTTAGGTTCAGTAACAAGCTCCACAAGTGACCCTTGGTTTTAGCTATTTTTCAGGAACATGCAAAAAAAAACAGTGTAGTGTTAAGTGTATAAGCATTATCTTACCTACTATTACTAATCTTCTATTTACACTTTACTTGAATGGTTTATTGAGCGTTGATACTGGCTTTCCAGTTTGAGCTAGTCATATCTCATTCACCGACAAGGACAGAAACATTGAAAGTCATCCAAGTTTACATTCAGTATCTTAGTGGAGGCTTGTTGCCAAACGTTAATAGCTTCACTGACTTTCATTTTAACTGCTCTGTCCTTTAATCATTGAACTCTGTGCCGGCTGAGGTCGTGTGACGATCTTTTAAAACTGATAGATGATAATGCAAAGCTGACTGCGTGTGATGTACTGTACACGTACCTAATGTTGCACAGTTTCTGCTTATTCTGGAGAAACTCCTATGCCAAGGAGTCGTTGTTGCCTGTTATTTATATCACTGTGTAAACGGAAAGTTGTTCTGTGGCTGTAGCCATGTGTTGTTAATATATCATCTATGTGCAGAAATCAGTTTTGTGATGTAATGATTAGCATCACTGCAAAATAGACTGGTACAGTGCAACACAGGCTGCATTATTCCACATGCTTTCTTTAAAGATCCAAACACCTATTGGTGCACATGGAGAAATAAGGAGCTCTGCTGTGTGAAATACTAGCTGAATGTAAAGCTTTTGTGAATATATTGGTTGCCAATCATCACTCAAATGTTAGTGGGTCCTAAATGCCTCACCAACCCACTCTGGCATTGTCCAGGCTTCCTTATGACTTTGTCTAGGAAATGTTTATAATATTACCTCCACACCCAGGCCTTGTTTGCTCTAAGGTAGTAGTTACAAACCACTCTGACCTTTGCACTGACCCATCTTTATGGAGAAATTCTCAGTTTCCTATGTGCATAGACCAGGGTGCTAAGCGCTAATAGACGTGTGTAGTTGTTTTACTCTGGAGCACTAAAATGCATTTGCACAGGATTTTCAAGGGCCAGTCAGCTTGTCATTCCTGGGATGAATAGATGGATACGCAGGCTACTGCTGACCCTGTGCTGCTCTGAAACAACCCCCAGTAGGATGTAACCTGACCAAGGTGTGTCCACCCTGACTGACAGTTTGTCTTTGTCTCTGTGCTGTGACTGGGTCAACAAAGCTGATATTCAACTCACGTCCCTCTACACTGACAGGAATTTGATATCTTGTAGGGCCTGACAGTACACCAATCAAACTATCTTTGTTTCCCAAAAAGCCTTATGCCTTCATGATGAATAACAGTTCACTCATTTATGTGTGTGAACCCATATTTCCCTTTTTTTGTATCATTCTAACAAGCAGTAATTAAATATTATGCTACAGTGTTTTTTTCCGTCTGTGTTGTGTAATGAAGTTACCAGATGCTCCCAAATGTCAGCGAGCACTTCCTGCTCTGAAAGAAATGTCATATGCTCCACTCTCTTCTTGTTAAAACATTACTTATACGAAGCTTGTAGGGAGACATAAAGACAACAAGAACGTTGTGCATGCGTGTGGGGAGACGTGCATGCCTTTGCCTACACACACTTACCTTGTCCTCTGGGGTGAAATATAACCTGCATTCAGGCTACATTTTCCATCACATAGAAGACTGTGGGCTGCTGCTGAGGCATATTCAACTTTTTAGATGATTT